TCTTTCGGACTTGTGCTCACTCGTTCACAGCTGGTGCACCTTTTTTTCTTCCTAATCTTCCAGTCATCTTGCTCTCACTAATTGCACCAGTATCTTGCTTCTTCCCAGCATAATCCCAAAGTAGCGCTCCATAGCGTCTACGATGTTGATCAATATCAGAAAGGTCTTCCTTTGAAACTGCTAACTCTCCAATGCTGGCATATTCTGCAAATGCAGCCACGTATACACCACAGTCACTGCAAAAAATAATAGGGAAAAAGATTTAGCATTCATTGTAAAATAAAATCTGTTAAATAGATAGAAGGAAAAACAACTTTTTCATACAGTGATCCCTTTTATTTTTGCTGGGGTATCTCACCGACCAACCACTGAATGTCAAGAGGGTCAGTAACACCTTTTTCAATGTATACCTTTATGCTCTTGTAGTTGATGTCTGGACGCTTGCCATAGAAACCGGTGCATGACAAGTAGAGGGGAATCATAACAGCAAACTTGTTGACAACAAATTCAACAAGGTTGTGATTTCGTGAAGAGATCACTAAATCATAGACATCTAGAACCCTATCGGTAATGTCAAACACAACCAACAACCAATAAAATTTCTCCACAATGTTTATGGGCATAATCACAAAATCAACTTGATCCCATGCAACACTTGCGAGTAACCTGTACCCCAATATATATTCTGATACGACGTCCTGGGGTTTGATAACAACAAGCTTCTTTTCGGCAGGAGCATTGATGTACCTCTGATAAATTTATTCAATTCTAGTCTTAAACATAAAATCAGTGGTTGTAAACCGTATTTTATTTTGAGGACCATACTTTCTTTTCTTTCTCAAATAGTATAAAATAATATCAATGTGCTGCATAAAAATAGATTTCATTAGTTCTCAATGCTTCCTACAATTTAACTACAATATATCTACAAAACAACTACAAAATCTGGAGATGACAGAATAATACAACTAGTCATTAAATTCTGACAGGGTATGTGTTTACCGAGTCGTTGAGGACTTGCCCGGAATGTGCCAAAGTATAAAACCACTCATTTTTATCAACTTTCTCCACTCCAAGATCATACCACGTCTTAAGTTGGTTATCTTTTACAGTATAAGGCCCCTTCCTCCTATTTAAATACATAGCAATTACAATAAATATGTAGATTCAAGTGGAAATTCAAAAGATGAATGCACTCGAAAATATGAACAAATTGTATAAACTAACCTCTTTGAAACTGTATCGGTACCAAGGTACAACCACTTGTTGAATTTCTCCAACAAGTTGAGATCAACATCTTCGCCAATAACCCCAGTAAATGGATGCTTGATGAGGAAAATCGGAGGTCCAACAGAAGTGCTCCCACCAGAACTGTAAAAAGGGAGAAAGGGGGATCGGGCATGCTTTCCAGGTTGCCTTGTTCTTCCTTGATGCACAAGGGTTATTTCTTCTTCGTTAATCTCGCCGAACTTAACAATCTGGGAGAAGTTCTCTGGCAGCTCAAAATCATCAAGTGTAACTTCTCTTTTCTCAAATCTGGAGTCGTTGTCCGAATCACCTACATTAACGTAGTCGATTGGTTCACCTCCTTCTTCACAGCAATCATCTCCTTCTTGTATAAGATTCTCTTCTTGAATGGGAGATTGCATTTTTGTCTCCTTCTCCTCATTCTTCTGTTCTCCTGGAATGCTTATTGTAGCTTCCTGTTTAGGAGATTCTGCAGGCATAGCTTCCTTCACTGTTATAGTAAATATGTTTAAGTTAATCAAATTGTAGATAGTTTGTACTAAACGCTAACATCACTGCATATAAATTGTAGTAAATTTGTTAAAATGTTATCTTGCATCTGATATGCAAAATGTATTATGAAATGTGATGATCACATGTACTAAATCATACCTGCATTCTCTTCATCAAATGCCCCTTCAAATTGGGAAGATAAATCAACATGTACAGGAACATTCTCCTCAATTTCTATGTCATTCACATGCCTTGTATCTAAGAAAATAATTGGAAATATAATGCATAGTAGTTGATACAAAATTAGGCAATAGGTAGATATATTGTAGACATAATGTAGATATGTATATATATGTAGATATATTTTAGGCATAATGTAGATATATTGTAGATATGTGTAGATATATTATAGATATACTGGAGATGCATGTTTTACTGCTGCTGGCATGCACTGGTTTATCACTATTGCCCAGAAAGTGTTAATTGTTCTTTTCTTTTGAGTGCTCGTTATTTTTGTAGAACTCCCAGCAAACTGCAGGCATTTAATTTGTTAGGCTATATACTTTATGAACGATAATATAAACTTAGACGTGATAAAAACTATTGTGTAAAATGAATATTTTCAAATGAAACCTTGGCATCAATGTTATCCTTTTGACTGTTTATCGCATGCAAAACAGCCTTGATTGAGTCATTGAGTAGCAGCTGAATGCTACCTAGTTCTTCAAAAATATCTTTCTTAAAAGATCCAAGATCTGAACCAACCTATATATTAAAATATAGAGAGTTAACGAAATAATTTGCATAACATAAATTAAAAAAACCATCCAGGATTATGTATATATGTTACCTTGTCAACATCTTTTCTTAATTTTTTTATTTGTTTCAGAATATCTTTCTTGTCATCTATCCAATTGCCTGCTTGTGTCCGGATGGAGATGCAGCATCTATCGGATGCTCGAACTTAGTTTCAACTTCTTCAAGGATATATTCAACTTTATTTGGTAAATTAATTCTTAAAAGCTCTTCTGGTGCTTCAATTATGTTGGTGAACTGAGTGAAAAAAAGAAATGAGAGTGACTTAGACATAATATGTATAAAAGTTGTAGATAATTGTATTAGATTGTCTGCGCATAAGTGAAAACCATTTACCTTGATCCATGATGGTTTGATCATTCTATCTTCAATTACAGATAACCATATCTTGTCCTTACTAGCTGACCAACTAAGTATGTGAGGGATAGAATTAACAACCATTGTAGCTATATCAGTGTTGACGGTAGAGCAACACTCATACAACCATATTTGCATAGCTAGTGCAAAGCCTCGAATGACATAAAAATGAACATAAGGGTTGAGCTTATGCCTAACAGACTGAAGCAATTGTGTATAAGATTCACTACCCCATGCGTAGTTCGCATACTGTCCTGAGTCCATCAAATAGAATCTAAAATGGTCTATCAACCCTGCATTGTCTTTGTCTGAAGGAGAGGGAAAGAATTCTATGAGATATAGAATATACAACTTGACTGCATCCTTGTCGTTCACCTAACTACGGCTGGTTACAATTTATTTTAAGTATGACTTCTCAACTTTTTCCTTGTTTGGAAAATAGCTCTCATTATTTTACTGTCATACGTAGGTGTGTAACTAAAGTCTGTCACTTCCGTAAAATATATCAGACCACTAATCGGGGCAAACTCTCTCAAACCAAAATTCAGCCTCTGACCCTTTATCTCTGCTGAAAAAAAGTCGGAACCAGATGCATTCAATTCATACTTCATGAGAAGATGAATTGCTTACTTTTGAATACATATTCTAGGCAAGGAAAGCAAACAACTTTAAACCATTTTCAGACAGTAAATCCTTAATTTACCCAGGAATAATGGGGTCGGATAATGTCTGAAACCCAATGATCCCATAATCAACATTATCAGGTGCAAAAAATAGTCAATTCTGCAGCAAAATGAAAAAAAAGTTATTAAAACAAGGCTCAAAACTAGAAAATAAAATAACTACATTTATAATACAATTTATCTACAATCAGATAAACAGAGTCAAAAACAGAAAACAAAATAACTACAATTATATTATAATTTATCTACAATCTTTAAAATAGAGTCAAAATCCGGAAAAACGTTTATATAACAATGTATATATAATCAGAAACTATAAATCTATAATAAATCTACACAATGTAAACAAATTTTTTACAACTACAAAAACAAAAATTATATTGATTCATAAGAATGAGAATAAAGTTTTTTAGCTTTAAAAAAAATATATTGTTGAAACTACTAAATTTTTACCTTCACCAAAGACTGTTGGGGAACAGTTTTAGAAGATTTTTGAACTTTCTTCTTTTTTGAAGGTTTTATATTAGGAGACACTCTAATTTTTTTTGCAACTTTAATGACAGCTTCTTCGACGAAATCATCATCGAAATCAATCTCTTTCCCTTTCCTTTTTGCAGATTTGACAGGTATCGACGATTCACCTGCATCAATATCGTGCTTTTGTTTTGTACGAGCTTCTACCCTAGCTTCACGAGGGGAAAGCCTGGGCTTGTTCTCTTCTTTGCATGAGCTGATTTTGAAACCTTTTTGGGTGAATTCTATGAGAAAACACCAAAATTAAATGTAGGAATATCGGCTCCTTTATCTTTTTTAGGGCTGATTTTTGAAGCTATTTTCTTCTTCATTAAAAATCAAGCAAAGCACATATGTTAACGGAGGTGATTTTTTGAAGAAGAGAGTAAAAATTTAGAATATTTTTTGAAGAAGAGAGAAAATAGATGTTAATAGAGGGATTCTGAAATTTGTGGAGAGAGAATCGTGTTTGAGTGTAAGATACGGGGGGGTGGCATGTGGAGAGAGAAACGTGGGGGGAGTGGAAGATACATTAGAGTTATTTTAGGACACTAATTACTATCATTAATTGCCTTAAATTATACATAAATGATAATTGGATATATAATATATAATTATATTAAAACTTGAGTGGGGAGGGTAATATAGTTTCATATAGTGTATAGGAATGTAAAATTTTTTTATACTTCACGGCCTATCCAAGCCCCAACCGTACCCCACCCATCGATGTCATGTCCGGTGCATGACCAAATGGCGTCATTTGTTCACCAAACGATGTCACTTCTAGTCAATCCTAGTCAAATTAATCTTGGCCCTTTGTTTTCCCTTATCCAACGACCAGGAACTCACCGCCCCATCCTTTAAAATTGTCTGAAACCCGGTGCTACCCGCTCCCCCCAAAAACCCGTCTCTAATACACTCCCTTCTCCTCGCCATCAAACGCCCATTTCCGCCGCCGAAAATCGCCTCACGGCGAAGGAGCACCACCAAATAACCCCAAGTCATCACCTTATACTCCCTGTCACCTCCCTATATCCCCCTGCAATTAGTTCCACCACAAAACCCCAGGATTGCTCGATTAGTAGATCTAAATATGACCAAAAGCCTAAAATTGCTCCATTTCTTGATTTTCTCCAATCTTGATCAGTTTGAGTAGTCAAATCGACATCAATCGGTTGCTCTTGAGAAGAGCAATCGGTTGATGCTAATTTCAATTCATTGCATGGCCACCGGAGTCCGGGCAAATGCTATTGACCATCGCCAACTTCTCCTTTTCTCGTTCCGGCTAAGTTCGGCCTCAGATGGTAATCTTTTATCTTCTTCTTCGTTTGTTTTCTTTAAAATCATTTTGATCTGTTAGTTTTTTGTTTTCTCTTCAGTCGCATGGGAACTATTTGTACTTACTCTTGGAAATTAATTTTTTTTATAATTTGTTGCAACTGTTTATAATAGTATCAATTAGTTTCAATCGCATTATTTAAAATCCGATGTTTCCTTAAATTCTAATATTTTTGGTCAAGATTTGGATGATGTTTGTTGTTTTTTATTTGTTGAAAGAGGCTCTGAACACAATCTGTTCTATGTAAGGGGTTGCTCACTCACACTTTTCTCATTCATGCACCTCTGAAAATACACACTCATTCACGAACATACAAAAAAAAGCTGAGAGAAGTTTTCTGCAATACAAAAAGTTTTCAGCTCATATCTGTAGTTCCCAAAATCTTCATTCTTCATTAGTTTATCACACTATTTCTGGAATTCTGAAGGTTGATTGAGCTTCTAAAATTGTTGTTCTTTGCTGAAAATCAGTAGTCTGAGCTCATCAAATGTTCGAGTGTTTAGATGTAAAATTCTACCTGATTTTCACAGATCCATGCAAGTTATTAAATGTTTTGTTTAAACTCATGGAAATGTTTGTGCTGAAAGTTGTGTTTTGCAGATCTGGTTATTATTTCAAATTGTCTCACTCGTTCAGATAGTTGTCACCCACACATGCTTATGGAACTTACCGCAAACACCTTGTCTAGTTGGAGATAGTCTGTGATCTGAAGCATTTTCATAACTCGAACAGGCTAGTTTAACATCATAAATCTGAATATGGAATGAATTGGTGCAATTTTTTACGCAAATAAATCATGTGTGTCCATTTTATATATATAAAAGTGTAATTGGTAATTTGGCGACTAGTGTTAAATGTTTAGACCTTGTCAGAGGTCAGTAGTACTTTATTTGGTCCCAATAATAAATAGGGCCCATTTTCACAGCTTGTTAACATTAGGAGCACCTGAGCTCCATTACATGAGACCCCATCCCATGGCCTGGACACACGAATATCCATCAGGCCCATTCCCATAATGGATTCAAGCTGAGCCCTCTTTACTTTAAAGGCTCAAGTCGTATTTAACTGTAGAACCAAATTTGGGTCATCTTATGCCCTTAGTTTGATTGGTCGACTTTAGTTACACGATCAGAATTTTAATCAAGCAGACCCAATTTATTTACTCTCAAATAGCTTTAGTCTCATGTGATCAACTAGATCCACGTAAGAGTGTGTAATCATGGCAGAATATAAGTAAAGTAGTTGTATACTTTTCTCCACAATGCTAATCCATAATTTATGACCTTACATTAATCTCAAAGTAGTGTAGAATAACAAATCATGAACATTCGTAGTTGCCTTAGGCACGTTTATTAATTAAATCATCACTGTTATGGGTACGGTTCTCGTGGCATAATTGTTGCACGTTTGCTTGACTTGACCTTATAACTTCAAATAATAATAGAATAAATATGATGCAAGTCACGGGTGTGTTTCACGTGATTTGTGATGCATATAAAACAACAAGTGCATGACATCGTGACTTACTTCAAATAAAATCTATTATTATATAAAAAATATAATCATACGCGGTAAAAAGATAAAATGCACATAAGGTTTAAAACGTATAATAATCAGATAATTAACGTGAGGATAATTGTAAAGAGACAGTGCTAAAATTGCGGAATTCGGGAGTGCCTCACACCTTCTCCTGGATTAACATAATTCTTTACTCGATCTTTTGTGTTTCGCAAACTTAAACAGAGTCAAACTACCTTGAATTGGGATTTGAAATAAAAACTAGTGACTTGGGACACCTTAATAATTATTTCAAGTGGTGACTCTCAAATAAATAAATAATCTCTTTTTAATAATGTCACTTAAAGTGAAAACTTCTTTTCGGAAAAAGGAGTGTGACAACATCCAGACAGAAATCAAGCACCCAATAGTCATTTTCACATCCCAAGCAAACTCTTCTCGTCACATCCAAGTCACCTAAACACTTCCCGCAGTAACATCATACTCATCATATAGCCATCCAACCACTCATCGAGCCATAAATCTCACTCCTAGAAATACTAACGGACATATAAGTCTAAAAGCACATAGTTACACAACTGAAACTACCGAGCCCAAGCTGTGGTCTAACCTGGCCTCAAGTCCTCCAGACTGGCCAAACTCCATAACACAGAGAACACATCTCGCACCTCATCCCCGAAATCACAAGTCGTCGATGCACAACGAATATCGAATATATCGCACTATAAGAAAAGAAAGATGAGAAGTTTATCCTAGAAGCCCATTAGCCTCTCGAAGATAGATATGAATGTCATCATACCGATCCACAAGACTCTACTAGACACTTGCTCATGATTCGTAGAACCTATGAACCTAGAGCTCTGATACCAACTTATCACGACCCCAAATCCAACTAGTTGTGATGACACCTAGCCCAATCCACTAGGTAAGACAAATAACAGTCAACACAACTCAAATGAGAATAATAAGAGCCAATGAGTACAATAACTGAACTTCTATTAAAAAATTTCAAGGATTTGTAGTACAAATCATAAGTTTCTAAGACTTAGAATTTACAAAGTTGGTACGAAATAAGTACATCATCTGTTCGAAATATACATCAACATATTTGCAAATCTAAAGCTACCGAGGACAAGTGGCAGTTATATCCGGAAAGCAGGTACATCCTCAATGCCAACTCCCACCATACACATCAATATCAGCTTAAGATTTGCACGAAAGGTGCAGAAGTATTGTATGAGTACAATCGATCCCATGTATTCAATAAGTAACAAACATATTCTTAAGTTGAAAGTAGTGATGGGCTCGGAAGATAGTCGGAGTCCAACATCAATAATCGATAATAACATGAGATATAATAATGCCGGAAATGGTACACAACTCAGAAAAATATTATGCTCAGCTCGATCAAAATTACACGAAAATAGACATACTTTTCAAGTATGACAGTCAAAGTTCAAATATTACCACCGAAATCAATTAAACATGAGTTTATCAAAAGAACTGTATTGTTCCAGTTCACAACACTAGATAAGAATTTTCGTTTACCAATTAGCATGAGAAAAATACATCTTTACGTTTACATGTCAAGTATACATGTCAAGTCAATATCATCCGTTTATCAGCTAGCATGAGAAAAATGCATCTATATACCTACATGTCAAATATACATGTCAAGTAACTAATATCCCAGTGAAACCATCAAGTACACTCACTTTTAGCACACTCAAGGTGCCTGGCTCAAATGCCCCTCGCCATCACAAACACAATCACTCAGCACTGTGCGGGTGTCTGGCTCAAAAGCCCCTCAACAAAGCATATGTATATATCACTGTGCCTACGCCCATTGCTGGCATTTCAGACTCCGGAGGGGCAAATCCTGTCCAAACGCTAATCATTAGCTAATATGACATGTTGCGACGTGCAATCCGATCCAAATAATAATAAAGCCAATATGGCATGTTGCGCGTGCAACCCGATCCAAATAACAATCTGTTTGCGGCGTGCAACCCGATCCAATAATCTTGCCTCCCCATTGATTTTTTCACCTAGTTAGTATGTATTTAAGGTGTAAAGTGAGAGCTAGAGGCTAGGGATTTGGAGAATTTGATTTGGGGATTTGGGTGATGATTTGGTGTCGAATTTTGATAAATTTGGTGTGGTTGAACTCGTGGTTGAATAGGCTTTCGGGTTTTGTGATTTTTGTCGAATTTCGAGACGTGGGCCCGGGGATCGTCTTTTGAGTCAATTTTTGACTTTTGATTAATAGCTTAGCATTTTCTTATGGAGTTGATTCCTTTAGCCGTAGTGATTATATTGAATTGTTTATGGCCAGATTCGAGGCATTCGGAGGCCGTTTCGCGAGGCAAGGGTATGTTGTAGTAGAGATTGGCTCGGATTGAGGTAAGTAACTGTTCTAAATTTGGTTCTGAGGGTACGAAATCCCGTATTACATGTCATGTATTTGGTTTTGAGGTGGCGCACATGCAAGGTGACAGCCGTGTGGCCGTGCACCGTAGGAATTATGACTTGGTCAAATTCCATGGAACTGTGTAGTTGAATAATCTGTCGTTATTTGTACATTCTCCATGTAGTAGAGAAATTTAATCATAAATCATGTTAGAAATTATGTTTAGACTATGTGTTGGCACTATAGGGACCCACATAGGTCGTGTACATGTTGAATTATCTGCTAAATTATTGTTTCGTACTCGATCACTGTTTTATTTGCATGTTACATTTCAGTCTCTATTGTTCATTATTGATGCATCATATTATTATTGTTTAGGTTGCTTATCATAATTTCTGAGAGCCCGAGAGACTGGAGAGGTTGATGACTAAGTGAGGCCGAAGGACTGATTGTGAGGATGTTTATGGGATCGGGCTGCACGTCACAATATGTTTCACTGATATATGCCATGATTGGCTTGTTATAGCGCTTGAGCTGAAAGAGCCCCTCCGGAGTCTGTACATACCCCCAATGAGCGCAAGTACTTACTGAGTGCGAGTACCGACTGTCGAGTGCTGAGCGATTGAGAGGAATGAGTGACTCTGAGGAATGAGTGATTGTGAGGTTAGAGTGAATGGGAGGACTGAGTGATTGTTACTCTGAGAGGCTGCATTCGACTTTCATTTCTGCTGCACTTCAGCTGTCATATATCATTGTCTTGAATTTTCTAAGAGACATTATCTTCTGTTCCAGTTGAACTTGACATGAATTAACTGTTTTGGCTTTAATTGTCGAACTTGAGAGATTGCCTACTTTCCTATATTGAAATCACTGTAATTGAACTTTGACTGTGAAGCTCGTCACTACATTCAGTTATTTATTTAGTCTTGTTACTTACTGAGTTGGTTGTACTCACACTACACCCTGTACTTCGTGTGTAGATCCAAGTGTTTCCGGACACGGGGGTTGTTTATTTCAACGCACAGTTGATCTTCTAGAGATTTTGAGGTAGTTTTCGGCATTTTGCACACCTTGTCTCTCCTTCCCTATCTTTCCGTTTATTGTATTTAGTTCAGACTATAGACAGTGTTTTCCAGACTTGTGATGTATAGATGTCCATGTACTTTGTGACACCCCGATAGCTGGGAACTTCCGCGTTGTGTTTTGGATTTTTATCCCTGTTTTATGAGAACTTTTATTATTTAAACTGCTTTAATTCATTTTTGTTAAAAGTGTTGGAATTATTTTGAACTGTCGGCTTGCCTAGTACCACGATAGGCGTCATCACGATAGGTTAGGATTTTGGGTCGTGACAAGTTGGTATTAGAGCCTAGGTTATATAGGTCTCACGAGTCATGAGCAGGTTTAGTAGAGTCTTGTGGATCAGTACGGAGACGTCTGTACTTATCTTCGAGAGGTTTTCGAACCATTAGGAAACTTCATATTCTTGTATTCTTGTCGTGCGGATTTGTTGATTCCGGTAACTAAACTTATGTATTCTATTCTCTCGCAGATGGTGAGGACACGTGCTACCGGACAGGATGGACAACCACCAGTACCACCAGCTAGGGCCACGAGAGGCAGAGGTCGCGGTAAGGGTCGCGGTAGGGGCAGAGGTGCAGCTCGTACAATAGCTAGAGTAACACTTGCAGATCTACCAGTTGCTTTAGCTTAGGAGCAGTTTCCAGATATGGCTGAGCCAGTGGGGCCAGCTCAGGCACCAGCTGTGCCCATTATGAATCTCGACCTTCAGGAGGCTTTGGCCCATATATTGACCGTTTGCACTGGCCTTGCTTAGGTTGTTTCGGCTCAGGCCGCACCAGCCACTTTTTAGGCCGATGGAGGTACCCATACCCCCGCTGCCCGTACTCCAGAGCAGC